AACCCCCCCCGGGTATAAAGGCCCCTGCCACATCAGCCAGTTCAAGTCACTGTCCCCACAGGAGCTGCAGGCCTTCAAGAGGGCAAAGGACAGCTTAGTGAGTCTCCCACCGCCCCTGTGCTGTGGGCTAGCCTCCTCCATCTCTCCATGGGGCTCCGTGGCAACTGCCTGAGAGTGCAGCTCTGCCTGTCCGCAGGGGGCTTCCTCCACCCTCCCTGGCTGGGCTGATGTCCACCTTCCTGCCCTGGGCTAACCTCGGCCTTCCTGACTGAACTCAGCTTCATCCCTCCTGAACTGGGCTTCCCTCCGCCTTCCTGCATGGACTAGCTCCTGCTCTGCTCCTGCTCTGCTCCTGCCTCTGCTCCTCTTCCTGCTCCTGGTCCTGCTCTGCTGCCACCTCTGCTCCTTCTCCTGCTCCAGCTGCCACTCCCAGTCCTCTCCAGCTCCTGCTCCTGCCTCTGCTCTTCCTCCTGCTCCTGCTCCATCTCCCTCTCCAACTCCTGCTCCTGCCCCTGCTCTTCCTCCTGCTCCTGCTCCATCTCCCACTCCAGCTCCAGCGCCAGCTCCTGCTCTGCTCCTGGGCTGCCCTGTGCTCCCGAGGTGGAGGTGCCTCTGTCCCTGCCCAGACCTGCCCTCTCCTCTGTGGTCTGCCATCCCCCAATCCTCTGGGTGGGCTGACCTTCCCCCTACTATGGGGATTGACCAAGGTGCTTGCCCCCAGGAAGAGTCGCTCTTGCAGAAGGACTATGGGTGCCACTCCCGCCTCTTCCCCAGGCCCTGGGACCTGAGGCAGCTGCAGGTGAGTGGGGGGTCAGGCCCTGCTCTTTCCTCCTTCTTGGCTCCTGAAACTTCTACTTCTCGCTGAGCCCCGCCCCTCCTCGCCCCCTTGCTGTTACCATCACTGCCTCACCCTCCTGCCCTCTCCCCTGTCCCCTCACCTGTTCTTTCTCCCCTGCCCTCAGGTGCAGGATCGTGCTGTGGCCCTGGAGGCTGAGCTGGCCCTGACTCTGCGGGTCCTGGGTGCCGTGGCTGACTCGTCCCCTAGGGACACCCTGGACCAGCCCCTGCACGTGCTACGCCACATCCACTCCCGGCTCCAGGCCTGCGTGAGTCTCGGGCCACCCAGGCACCCATGTCTGCCTCTGACTGCCATCCCCTGCGTCCCCAGCCTGCTCACATGCCACCCTCCTCTGCCCACAGGTCCCGGCCCAGCCCACGGCAGGCCCCAGGCCCCGGGGCCGTCTCCCCCCCTGGCTGGCCCGG